ACACACACACACACACACACACACACACACATATATATATATATATATATATATATATATATGTATGTATATACATATATATATATATATGCCGTTATCTCCCAGGTACATATGCATACGCTGTCTTTGTCATACATATATGCGCTATCCTTCAGATACGTATACATACGCTACTACATTAATATTCACGTAGACACGCTGGCAAATCCATATTTTCATATACACATTACCTTTACATGCATGTACATACGCTGTTATCAGGCAGTGACACAGGGAGGGTTTGGGCAAGATCAGATCATTCAGGTGATCAAATGCTTCTTCCATTCGTTCACTTTTTGGCTCACAGAAAGTGAGACTGGGTCCTCGCACATGATGGAATTCACTGAAAAACACACAAATCATTATGCTTCATTATATCGCACATATACTCGCCTAAGCATGATAAATCATAACTTGAATCGGAAGCTTGTATCGGCATGATCTATGAAACAAGAGCTTTTAATATATTGTTGGTAAATTCATAAAATTTATTTATAAATATTTTTTTAGAGGGTTATGTGTATGTAAATACATACATATGTACCCCATTTAAAATAACAGAAAGAAGGCGAGATATCTGTGGCAAAATTCGGCAAAGTTCGGCATTTCATAAATACATTCACATGGAGATTGAGCATGAAAAATCATCCTTGAGGCTTGAGCCAGGTCCCAGGATCGCAGATTTCCTCGTTCTCCAGAGCGTTAAGACATTCATAACTATATACGACTATATGTGTATTTATACATCTATATTCGATAATCGTCGAAAATTGAGAAGGCGGTTACATGAAAGCTACATTTGTGGTGCTGTGACTATCTCTCATACCTCACCTATTCCAAGCGCGATTAAGACGTTGTGAGCTTCTTTAGTCCGGGCATTCCAGGTATTTAGAATCCCAACTCTATGACTTTATTAGTGTCAAAATTTGGGCCAATGGTATTTTGTATCGCCATCTGGAAGCATATAGATAAAGGTGGCCTAAAGGAAGTGGAATTCCTAGTTGTCAGTTTCGGTTGCAGAGGAGAATAAATGACCACTCAGACTCTCAACAAGCTTTCAGTATCAAGCTCGAAAACACCTTGCTTGGTGAGCTGAGTACTTAACGAAAACGACAAATACCACACGGTCGCGGGCAACTTATTAAAAAGGATTGAGGGACGATACTTCTCGATACATTGAACAAAACAGCATAACAAGGATCGCCTACGAGTAATCTATTATTTGCTTTTAGAAGTATTTGGCGTGTATGTGAAAGCTGATTCGTATACATATTTGTGTGAATACATTCGACAAGTCCCATTTGAGTTTCTAAGACTTGTGATTTTTAACGTGGTTCGTCATACAATCCTTCAAAATGGGATGTACTAAATCCCTTTGATAAAACCGTATTGTTATTGGACATCAACAAATGTACACTCAGTATCTTCGGGATAGACAAGCGCTTCACACTTTTTTTTTTGACGATTTCGTACCATGGAGAAGCCAGCACACACTGGCATGTGTTATTGTTTTCGTGGTTTAATTTAAGCTTGTCAAGTATGCTCAAAAAATTCCTTCTATAGATTATGATTTTTTCCATATTGCGGGTATTTAGTAGCTTGACATCTCAAATGTCCAAGCCATCGCATACGCCTCAATAGCTGTTCGAGGCGTTCATGGTCTCAACAGCCTAACTTTCTAGTTTTGAAAGTACAGGTTTTGATTTGCATATCTATTAACGTTGAAACTTTACATACCATCTGTTTCCAGTCTGAAAAGTTATATTATGGCAGCGCAAATATATATTCCGCTAAGTGTGATTGGCAGCTTCATCCCTGATCTCATTGTCGTCCGAGCTTTTCAGCAATGATTTCTTTTTGAACTCACGCATTCCCTTGACTGGCTCGAGAACAGCGGGGGGTATGTACATAGGCTCTGCATCTTGTTTTTCCTGGCTCCCAGTTTCTGCTTCAGTTTCATCACTATTTGATTTCTCTTCTGGCTGTTCGGTGACTGCCGGCTTATCGACTCGCAATCTTGTCTGATCGGTTTCGACCTGAATGTTAGCGTCTAGGTCTGTGTTTGAGTTGATATTCGCATCATTTGCATGTACGTATGTATCAGTTCTCATACCGAAACCATCCCATAGGTTTCCAGGTGCGGTAGCTACGGTGCTTATTTTGAACACCAAGGCAAGGATAATAATAGCTAGTATTGCCGGATGACAGAGCTTATTCGAACCCTTCATGATTTAATTGATAAATATATATTCGGTTTGATGTATAACGCGAATGTCACTGACCAAGTGTGCTGTAGCTATATATATATATATATAATATTGAGCAAAAGCTTTTGTTATGGTGAGGAGTCTGAGGACCAGTATGTTAGATTTTTCTTCTTCTTTTTCTTGGCGACCAGTTGCAGAGCGCCCCGCCATGGCAACTCGAATTGTTAAACTCCCCCCCGCCCCCTTTTTTTTAATATATAGAAAATGAAATAATTCCAAACAACGAAAACAGTAGTAATTATTTATGCATACGTGAATACTATAGTATTTCAAGACCAGTCTTAAAAATATTTAAAAATATTTTACAGTCGGTCTTTTTGTTCATCCTTGGACCATATACCGTTACAGGAGAGGCCGAGTGGGGTCCCGGATAGAGCACACAGGTATATGGTACAAGGCATTATGCCACACAGCATGCAGCGACTGACAGTATCACGCCGGGTGGGTTCAATTCCTTGGTTAAAAAAAGGGAAATTTTACGACAAAGTTGTGAGAGGCATGGCTGTGGGTAGGTATGCTACCTGTTACAGAACAGGCCGAGTGGGTTCCCGGATAGGGCACGAAGGTATATGGTTCAAGGAATTATACCGCACAGCATGCAGCGTATGACAATATCACGCCGATGCCTAGTAGAGGGGAATGAGACCCAATGGGTCAAGTTTTGTGATATCTACAGTTAGGCAAGTTCGTAGATCAATTTGCCTTACTGTAGATATCACAATATATATATATATATATATATATATGTTTTAGGGTTTA